AGTGACGTGCCTGTAGATTTCAGATGGGTTTTCGTGGACCAGTCACGTGTGATATAAACGACACATCAACAGTTTAAGAAGTACACATTTTTGCCGAAAGCTAGGTCAGATGGTGCTTAGCCTCCTTATGGATATTTATGTCCATATTAATATTTTCAAGATCATGATTTCATAATCTGGCAATAGTCTATAGACTATATGGCAATAGTCTATAACTAAATTCTACTCCAAGATTGGGACCTCAAGGTACTTGGCCGGCTCATTTGGTAGAACATGTGACTCTTGACCTCGAACTTACAGTTTCGAGCCCCATGTTGAATGCAGAGATCACTTAAAAATAAAATCTTTAAAGGGGCACCTGGGTGGCTAAGTCAGTTGGGCGTCCAACTTTGGCTCAGGTCATGATCTCGCAGTTGGTGAGTTTGAGCCCCGTGTTGGGCTCTGTACTGACAGCTCAGAGCCTGGAGCCTGCTTCGGATTCTGTGACTCCTCCTCTCTTGCCCCTCCCATGCTCATTCTCTGTCCTGCTCTCTCAATAATAAATAAAAATAAAAAAAAATTTTTTTTAATAAAATCTTAAAAAAAATAAAAATGGAATAAAAATTAAAAGATTGGGCTCCCGATCTGATCCACATTACCATCAATATGACATTTCTGAGGAGGATACTGAAATATCATACCAATTAGAAATGCCACTGTTTTCTTTTATAATTGCCAGAAAGGCGAACCGAAGGCTGATACGTCATTTGAGAGGTTTCTGAAAGAACGATGGCTAAATGTTAATTTTTTTTTTCAAAAGAAGTCATACTAAGGGTGCATAAAACAACACCTCAAAAGTAGCCAAGCAATCTCATTCCATTTCAAGACTGCAGTTTACATTTATTAGCTGGACTGATGAAATTAATCTGAGATGCAATTTGAAGAATTGACCATTAACTGCTAATGAGGTTTAGCTTTTTAAAAAAGTAAGTAAATGACACTGAGAATTCTGTGAAATAAATCAGAAGTGATGCAATTAATCACGTTTCAGAGGAAGTGGTAACATTTTAGTTCCAAGCAAAGAGTAAATAGGGAGTTTTGGCTTGGCGGTGTGATGCCCCTCGCTGCTCTAAATGAGATTTTGAACCGAAGAGTGGCTTTGGATCTCATAATATTCTGGTGGTGTTGGCAGTTCTGGAAAAGGGAGATACCACAGAATGGTTCAGGCATCAAGGTTGAGATGTTGGCCGCAGCAGGGATGCAGAAGGAATCACTCGGAAGCTTCTGGGCTGGGGAAGAGGGACAGAGGCTAGAGTCTGATGGATGTGGGAGGCCCAGGATAAGGAGTTTAAGTGACAGGGTAAGACCAGGTGGTATCAGGAGCAGCTAAAGGGAACAACTTGACATCAATGTCCCACTTTTAGACCAAGCACGAAATGGGTCCTAACCTCCAGCAAAGTCTTCAGAGGTCACTAGCTTGTCCTTCCATAAGAATTCTATTCTACCTAGGGGCGCCTGGGTGGCTCAGTTGGTTAAGCATCCAACTTCGGCTCATGTCATGATCTCATGGTCCGTGTAAGCCCCGCATCGGGCTCTGTGCTGACAGCTCAGAGGCTGGAGCCTGCTTCAGATTGTGTGTCTCCCCCTCTCTCTGCCCCTCCTATGCCCATGCTCTGTCTCTCAATAATAAATAAACGTTAAAAAAAAAAAAAAAAGAATTCTTTTCTACCTAGATTCTTGAGAAAAGAGCCCTCAGCATTAATTTTGACTTCAACATGGAGGAAATGTAGTTTTATCACAAGGATTCTTCAGTGGGAAAACATAATCTTTTTTTTTTTTTTTTTAATTTTTTTTTCAACGTTTATTTTTATTTTTGGGACAGAGAGAGACAGAGCATGAACGGGGGAGGGGCAGAGAGAGAGGGAGACACAGAATCGGAAACAGGCTCCAGGCTCTGAGCCATCAGCCCAGAGCCCGACGCGGGGCTCGAACTCACGGACCGCAAGATCGTGACCTGGCTGAAGTCGGACGCTCAACCGACTGCGCCACCCAGGCGCCCCATGGAAAACATAATCTTTTAACAGCAGCAGCACTGCTCTCCTTTCCCTGCCTTTTCACCAAAGTAGTGACTTGGGCTTCTCTTTTCCTATCTGGAAACTTGGGATAACAACCCCTCCTTCCAAGAGCTGCTGTCAGGCTTCTGGGAGGTAATGATACATGGGCTGTGCACACACAGTTGGAAGAAGGAGGCTTATCAAGGTCTCCCTACCAATCAGATGTGTTCTGTGTGATGCTAGTGGGTAAGAAGGAGGTGTGAGCGGAAGTTATGGGGAGACCGATTTTGCCCCGGGGTAAGACAAACCTTCTGGGATCCAGAATTTTCAGAAGTTGGAATAGCCACGTGGAGGGAGAGCAAGCTGCAGGCACTGAGGGTGTTGTAGCCACATGATGTGGCAGAAAAGAGACTTTCCACTAAGCTGTGGCACGTGCAGTTTGTGGGTTTACCTAACCAAGGTTACATGTAGCTATCTGTCACTCCATCCCTTCTACTGAAGAGAGCATAGCATAACTCCAGTGAATGAGAATATTGATACTTAAGCATTAACAGTGATGGGTTAAAATTTGTTAACCATCAGAGGCTGGGCACATATATGCTTTATATATGTTTTCACATTCAATCTGTAATAAAATGCCATGAGGTCAGGTTCATGACTAATTTAGAACAGGCTCAGGGCAGTGAAGCAACCTGCCTGTGACTTCTGAGCTCGTAAGTGACGAAGCCAGGATAGAGACACGTGTTTGCTTGCCTCAGACTTGTGTTTATTGAGAAGGAGGAGGAGGAATAGGGGAGCAACGAGGGCAACGTAGGGGGGAGGCGGAAAACATTCACAAATATTAGCAGAGTACCTTAAATATTACCAGCCATAAGTCATTTGTGACGCACACTACAAGGAAAAACACAACGTAGAGATGTACTTCTCACACCCTCTTGCTTTCCACAGAAGAGCTCCATCTAGTTCAGACATTGACCATATGCCCCCAGTGGCCTGAGATGTAGCCTGAAGAAAATTTCCTTTTTTATTTCATAACACGGCCACATTTGTTTAATATAAAACATGCCTCCATATTTTAGAGGAAGATGAATATACAGTAGGATGCATGGCTTCCTTATCTTGTGGCTCCGTGTATCACCTGGGAAGACCCCGCTCTCCCCTTCCCCCAAGGAAAGCCACTCTCCCCGACACCACGATATTCAGTTTTAGAAGTACCACCAGAAAAAGTGTACATTTGTTGATCTAGAGGTGGCTAAAATACCTAAAAAGCTTTTTTTAAAAAGAAAAAAAGAAAGCCTGTTTCACCAAATCAGCATTCCAGAAGTTTACAAGGCAACAGTTAATTCATATATTCATACATATAATAGCTCAAGATGTGTATGCATTTTACCACCTAGCTTTCATTAACAGAACGCTAATGGAATCCCCAGGGACTTCTAGTCTACCCTCAATAGTGCTTTTTGCTCTCGCACTGCCAAAACAAAGTCTCTTTTGGGTAACAAGTCCAACATTCTCAGGAAGGCTGTATTCCTCACCAGAGTCCTCCAGTGCTCATAAACTCATACTCATCATTGTGTTGAGATTTGGGAGACACTGTCTGTCCATTGCCTCTGCACCTGTTATCTTATTGCCCTTATCCAAACAGCCCCAGCCCTAACAGCAGCTGAAACAACAGATGGGCAGGAGAACTTGAGATTTTTTGACATCATCCTTTTGTTTATGAAATCCCACCCCCCAACTCTGGAATCTGATAGGAATTCTCTTCATTATCATTTTGTGGGATTTTTTTTTCCCCATGACACTTTTTTATTCTTAAAAAGTAAATAATTAATCCGAGGGTGGGGGGAGATAAAAAGAGGAATAACCTTGCCCTTTGAAAATGGTCAACAAGGAAATGGGGGTGGTGATTTTGTCACGTGGAATTGACATAAATGTATCTTTGCCTTGGAGGATAATTGCCGGTAGCCAGGTTTGGTGGCAGGATGAATTCAAGCAGGGAGCTGAGACGGGCTAATGAAGGGGAGGGTGGAAATCTGGTGATAAGGTTGAGTGTGAGGAAGTCGGAACACGCACTGCCCTGGGAGGTCTGAAGAGCAGAGGGGAGATGCAGGCTAGGCAAACTGAGAACCTGGCAGGCACCAGTGCCTGGAATTGCAATTTCAGGACAGAATCCCCATTGCAAGGGATGAGATTATTAAAACAGGCCTAACCTAGGGATTATGGAGGCAGAATGCAGGATATTATTTAGTAGCATATGATTGTAAGCAAGTTGATTAACCTCTCTATGCCTCAGATTTATCATCTGTAAAATAAACATGAAAATACTCGTACACACGTAGGGTTGTTTTGATCTCAAATGAGAAAATACACACAATGTGTGTAGCCCCAAGCCTGACAGTCAGTTAATGGATGCTGCTATGGTTGCTCCTTTAGCCTAGAGTGAGACACATGGAGAGGAGCAGGAGGTGGGGAGAAGGACAACCAGTGGATGTGCAGTATAAGGAAGGGGCTTACTGACACGTAATGGGGTTTTGTTGAGTTCCTGAAATGAGGGGGAAAGAGCGGACTGTGCCCACAGAATCTGGCATGATACTTTCCCCACTCTGTCTGCTTATCCCATTTAGTTTCTCTCCCAGACACCCTCATTTTGGGTCACATTCCATCCGACTCTTACCCACCAGGGTTATTGTGAAGGTTAAATTAAAGATCAAAAAGTATCTAGTAATATTCAGTCATGTGTCAATTGATGCTAGTTATTATTGCTGTTCGTTCTGGTGTGGTCTGTCATGCGTAGGCGAGTGTCTTAACCATAGCAGATGATAAAAATGATTGGATGACTTAATGTATGTGTGCTTTCAAAAGTAAGCAGGACTGATAGAATATCCTCAAGGGGATCAATTTTGTCTGCCCCCAGAATTGTGTCTGTGTAGCTGATCATCTTCATTAACAGTCTTCTTTGTTTTCCAGGGATCTCAGTCTTGGCAGTGTGTACAAATACTGGGTCATCACCATTTCGGGAAGTGAAGAGAGTGAGCCATCACCTGCTGCTGTATACATCCACGGGAGTGGGTATTGTGGCGACGGCATTATCCAGAAGTAAGTAGATCTCATTAATGAAAGGGGAGGGAGTGATGTTAACCAGGCCGCGAGATGGTCAGGGTGCTACATAGAAGAGCTTATGAGATACTCTACGATGTGTGAGCTGTGAGTTCCCAGCAATGCCCAGCAGCCTGTCTGTTTGTCTGCAAGTAGCTTCCTGGCCTCAAAAGAAAAGCAGTGATTCTTCTTGGAACACATCTGTTTCTCGAGTATGTAATATAGAATATGATTCTGACAGGGCTACTGTCATGTGCTTACTACAGCATGCTCTTACTTACAGTTGTTTTATGTTGACTCTAAGGGTTCTGTTTGTCTTTTCCATCCCAGCCCACATTCAGCTAACAGGACGCTGTGCATCCAGGTCAAAACACTTTTATATTCTTTGCTGGCTACTGTTTCAAGTTGTTAAAACCTGTGTATTTTTTTTGTTATTTCTGTTGTAGCGTGTTATAGTAACAATTTACAAAATGGATCATAGGCTCATCAAAATAACAAAATATCCTAGCTTGCTATAATGCTGAAACCACATGTAGTAAACAGCACTCCAGGGTGAATATTGAACATGAACATAAATAAGTGCAGGGGGGCAAAGGAATCAGAAAGTGTAAAGACTCCACATGAGCAGCCAAAAAGGAAAAGTGTGAGTAGAAAATAGAAAGCTGCATGTCTACACCATGGATTTTATTGGGTCATCAGTCCATTTATCCCCTTGTCCACAGGGTGAGGTATTGCACAACTGTGAAATAGGGGCAAGAAACCATCAAGAGTCTTACATTGTTTAAAAATTTTTTCAAAAAAAAATAAAATAAAATAAACCTCCTCTTAAGAGTTTTTTCCTCCAAAATTAGCACAAAAATGTTTTCTGGCACAACATCGAATAGTTTTTTCCCCAGAGGTGAAAAAGGGACCAGAAATCATTCGCAGTTAAGTTTCTTATTGCTAACTTTGTGTTCCTTATTGCTAACGTGGTTGCAAGTTGTACTAATGCTAAGAGACTTTTAAAATCGTCGGCAGGTTTAATGATAAACGTCACACATGGAGAGGACAAACAAGCTATTGGCGAAATCCCATCATTAAATGGCGCTGTTGGGTGTCACATAATATCTGTGCAATGTGGCATTGCAGTGACTGTTTCTGTAGGGGGAGGGGCGCCGTAAAGAGAATTTGTTTCACAGTTGGATGAAACCGCTGATATGCAGACCATGAATCATAGGTGTGGTACATATATGAAAGAAAAGTGCTAGATGACTCCTTCTTTCAGTTCATCATTGACTCTGGTGCTGGAGGGGAAGAGCAATTTAATTTGGTACCGATGATCGTGTGGCATGTAATGTAAATTGGAAACCTGCTTTGGGATGAAAGGACCGGCCAGGCTAGCAAGGATAACACAGTTGTGCAAGTACAGCATTTGCACATGAATACCCATCCACACAGACATCAGTTACTGGCCAGCAGTTTGCTTTCTAGTCATGACTTCCATTGAAGGAAATATTGAATGTTGCATATATGATCAGATGATGGCCAGCATGTTACATCTTTTCAACGTGCTGTGCAGAAAGAATGTCCAAGTTTCAACCACCCCTACAGACTGAAGTATATGGGCTATGACAAGAAAGGTACTAATTCCAGTTTTGGGAATGAAAAAATGATGCTTTCTTTTAATATAGACACTGGCAAGGCCAGTAATGATTATTTGCACAATTTCAAGTGAATTGCTGAAATGACATATCTCAGGGATATATCCATGTCTTAAATGTCCTGCAGCTATAATTACAAAGCATGAATTATCAAGGTTTTAATATTAAGGAGACAATATAAGGATTTTTAAGTGTTGAATTATGGTACAAATCACCTGATGGCCAAGAATTTGACTCATGAAGCATAGAAGATAAAGCTCCTCATTGGTTGGAGAATGAAACTCCTGATGTGTTGTCCTGTGCACTTAAAATCCCATCCAAATGCAACAACTAAACATGAAGATACAGTTTCCAGTGCTTAATGTAATGCAACTGGGGAAAGGGAAGCCTTTCACTGTTCTCTCCCACATTAAGACATCAACTTCTGGCTCTTGACACAGCTGTTCTGATGGAGTACTGAGCGACTGAACAAGGCAGTCTCCAGGGAAAGTGCCCCATCACTGTGGGTCTAAGACTGAGCTGCGCATCCAGAATATCCAGGAAACACTTGCGGTCATTGCTGACAACCCGTAATTGTGATTTGGGATTTTCTAGTTTAGCACAAAGAATAAAAAAAGAAACTCACCAGATGTAGAACCTGACCTATAACTCAGTCTGTTCATTTTGGAGCCAGATAGAGATGTATTGGTAAAATACTGCAAACAATATCATTCTTCTTGCTGATCTAAAACTATTATTATTATTATTACTATAATTATTATTAATATAAGTAGTATTTTTAATAAAGGTTTTTTTTAGTACTTTTACCTAGAATTGGTATCCTACCCAGACATCAAATATTTTCTAAGTTACCTACAGGTACCAAATATTTGTTGACATGCTTTGGAGAAAACCAAATGCAGTTGATGGATAGTTCCCTGGGCAAAAACAAACAAATAAAAACTTTGAGGAAAAGGAGGAATATCATCTCAGCTAATTGGATTTTTCATGGGATGATACATGTGAATTTACTATGTATATTTAAGAGAATTTGCAAAGTTATTCAGATAGACTAAACACTTCATGAGGCCCCTAATGGATGAAAGCATTGGATGAATATAATGATAATACTCATAAATCTTTTTTGAGCCTCCGCTATGCACAAGCATTGTGCTACCCTATTATCTCCATGTGAAACCACATGAACAGCATCCATATAAAATAGGTTCTATTACCATACTTTACAAAAGAGATAACTCATGTACAAAGATTCTAGTGACTTTCTCAACCTGGCATACCCGGGAAAGAGCAGAACCTAGATGTGAACCCAGAGCCCATGTTCTCATTGGGATGCACCATTGCCTCACCTTGTGACCAGCAACCCTACAAAACTAACAAGTAAAGGAGTAGCTACATGCTCTCTGTTGTACCCCAGGCACTGTGCCTGGCATTGCGGGGCTAGGATGACAAAGGCTGTCGCTTCCTTTGACATCTGAAAGCCCAATGTAGGGGGGCTGTCAGGTAAATGGGCAGAGGTGGTCAGTTTGACAATTGCTGTCATAGATGGAGCCTGGTGGCTTTGGACACAGAGAAGACCGCCATCCACTCCAGCTTGGGAGGTCAAAGGAGGTTTCTCAGAAACTCTATCTAATGATAGATCTATCATGCCTAGAAGATATTTGTGGTAACACCAATGTTTTGCTTAAACCAAGAGAACATACTGTTTGGGTGGTGAGGGAAGGCGGGTTAGATGTGTTCTTTGTGGCTTTGGGAAACCAGCCCAGGTTCAAAAAAAAAAAAAACTCTCCCTAGATAACCCATGAGATAGCTAAGAAACACAAGAGATTCACTGGCAGTGATTGGGAATATGGGCCCAGCTTGGAATACGGAATTCCCTTCTCCCTGGCTCCTAGGTTTGCAGACAGGGGAGAACTTGAGTGCCTCCTCAGTGATTAGAGCGATGGCCCAGCCATCCTAAGGATTGATTGCAAGGCACCATCCTGCTACTCCAACACCTCCTAAAAGCAACAAACATTTCCCAGTGTTAATTGCCCGGGTGAAAGGAAAAGTCTGAGGCCTCTCCCATGCTGTGACAGGTCCCAGCTGGTCTCTGGGGAGGGAGGGACAGCTGCCACACACTCTGCAGAGACCTCCCAGGACTAAGAGGGAATGGGATCCGTGATTCCCCAAGCATCTACTGTATGTCATGCACCATGCCAACCATGTTAAGTTACATTCTGTCCTTGTGCTGGCTCTAAGGAGCAAGTCTGATGATCTCCATTTGAACCTGTGGGAAAACAGAGACTCAGCATCTGGAAGAGCACTGTCCAGTGGACTTTTCTGCAGTGATGGAAACATATTCTGTGCTGTCCAGTCCAGGAGCCACTAGCTCTCGAGTACAGCTCTCGAGGACTTGAAACGTGGCTATGGCGACTGAGGAATGGAATTTTAACTTTTTTTGTAGTCTTAATTGATTTAAATGGTCAAGTAGAGATTAGGTGGCTTATCTGTGATCACATGGCCGGTTTGGAACAAGGGGATCTAACACCAAGTTTTCCGTTTTTCAATGGATGAGGATTTTCCAGGTAGTGGCAATCCATTCAGTCCTTCAGCTCTTACTCTTCCTTCCAATTCAGAAAGCATTGCTCATTTTCTGTTCATCCCAACCTCTGCAGAATCACTCTTAGGTGATAGAAAGTATTCCAGAAAACCCCACAAAACACCAAAAAAAAAAAAAAAAAAAAAAAAAAAAAAAAAAAAAAAAAAAAAAAAAAAAAAAACAAGAGGAGGCACTTCTGTTTCCCAGTAGTATAGTTTCAAGGCCCTTGGAGTTCCTGATGCCATGAAACGACATACCCAATGGAGAGAGCAATACTTGCTGGTGAAAGGAAGACCAGACTCAAGCATGTGACTGGGAAAAAAAAATCTTTATTTTTAAGTTCATTGGGGGAGGAATGTGGGGGGGGGGTGGGTGGGTAAGTTAAGTCATAGTGAAGAATAGCGCTGATATTTCAGAAGCTCAGAAATTTCCTTCAAATCCACCATTTCAAAATGGCAGCAAGATCTTCCAGACACAGAGGAGCAAGTTCTGTTCATTTATTCATTCATCCATTCATCCATTTCTTTCTCCCATCTGACTTAAATAACAAGATCTCAGAGAATGAGTTTGAGGCAGGAACTCTGCTTTGTCATGGGAGGTCCAAAGTTAGGCCAATGTAGTAGGATCTTACAAATTTATATCTTTACACGTCTCATTTTGAAGATGGAGAAATGGAGACTCAGACAGGGCAAGGGATTTGGCCTGAGGCCTCTTGGGATGTTCATGGCCTGGGAGGGGCTCTTCCAGGCCCAGCTGTGGTCCTGAAGCGGCTCTGACAGATTTCTCTTCTGTACCTGGTCTGCAGAAGCCAAGGTGAAGAATGTGATGATATGAATAAGCTCAATGGGGATGGCTGCTCCCTTTTCTGCCGAAAGGAGGACTCCTTCAATTGCATTGGTAAGTCTTCGTCATTTCTTTGGGCTTAGCTGGAGAAGGGGACCGTGCAGAATAGCCACTTCAATAACTGCAGTACTTATGACTAATCGTGATTTACTCCTTTGTATTACAAATATTTGCTGAATGCCTCCTGTGGGCCAGACCTTGTTTTAGACACTGGGGAATACAGCAATGGGAAGCAAACAAAAATGGGCACTTGCACCTGCCCTCACGGAGCTCATGTTCCCATTGGATGACAGCAATGGCTGCTGGTAACTCTTTTTCAGTCTAGCTTCACCTCATAGCCCTTCTTCTTGCCAGCTCTCCAGGATGGTTATGAGTATAGATTTTTATTAAGGCTTTTTATTCTCATGTTAGAGATGAGAAAAATCAAAAGCCAGAGAAATGATAAAACTTGTCCAGCATCACACGAGTTAGAAGTGATGGGAGACAGAACAGACAGAGCCAGGGCTTGAACCTGATTCTGCCTGATTCTTAAGCACATGCTCAGCTTAGTTTGCTGCACAACCCCCAGCCAAGATCCAGGAACCACTGAGGTCCCCTCTGCACACTCAGAACCTCGAGGAATAGCAGACCAGCCTGTGTTTAGAAAGCAAACGTCCTTTTCCCACCTTCACTGAGTCAGATGGGAAATTTGTTTTCCTCTGGCTTCTCTAGGAGTCTGGCTGTTCTTGTTGTTACAGCCCCACTTGGGAGGCCCCGGCCAGCCCGGGGCTGGTAAACAGTCAGGGGTTGGGGGGCAGGGATGGAATTTTGAGCTGGCTCAGATGAGATCATACTTCCTTTAAGATGCAAATCGATACCTGAAGATCAAAGGTCCCCCGGCTAATCCCCTGGGCTGGAGGTGAAAACTAATCACAATTCATTTGCAAGTACAAAAGACAGAGGTGCTCTATCTGAAGCGGGAAGGGGCAGCTACTGAGGGGATGAAAACATTGGTGGGAAGATTTCTCACTGAAAGGCAATTTTCTAGGAAGACTAAAGGGAAGGAAATGTCATCGGGTCCTCACATTTGCAGTGCATTACAGGGACGCATTTAGACCTGACTTCTCCCTAGAGATTGTGAGCGAGCACTGTGCGCTCTTCACCATATATCGTTCACCCTTATTCCATTCTCAACACACATTGATTGAGCACCTGCTGTCTCCCTGGCACCAGGTAGGGGCTCAGCAACACAGTAAGAGGTGTCCCACAGCTTGCCGTGGATGGAAGCCAAGGAAGACATGGAGGAAGGAAAAACGGGAGGAGAATTTCCAGGCAGGACCTTGGGTTTCTAAATGACAGAAGGTTGTTTTCTGTCGATCTGGGTATGGTCCATGGTAAAAACGTGATGTCAGCATAGTGGTATGGTGGAAGGAGCCTGGGCTGAAAATTAAGAAAACCCAAAGTTCTCACTGTGCTGAGAATTTGCTGCCTAACACTGGCCAAGTTGCTTCTCTAGTCTGGGCCTCAGTTTCTCTCCTGTAAACTTGAAAGGATTGAGGTAGGTGGTCTCTAAGGGCCTTACCTGCCCATGACTTGTGTGATTTCCAAGGTGTGTGACTATTTCCCATCCCTATGAGCTATTTGCCTTTGTCGCTATCTTTGCAACACCCAGCATCACTCTCCAGTCATGCTGGGAAATATCTTCCTATGTTACTTGCACAAAGGTGGCATGTAACTTAAATGCTTCTGGAAGGAAGGCAGGATGTGGTGTGAGGGTTAGATATGGTATCCTAAAAGAGATGCTTGGGTGGCCCTGACACCCACGTTGTAGGTTGTTTCAGCACTGTGTGGCAATAAACAAAAACAGGAAAGCCTCCTTCAGGTAGAAGTGCATCGTCCGTGGAAGGGGTCTGCGAGCTACAGTCCATGGGCCAAAACTGGCCTACTGCCTATGTTTGTTAAGTAAAGTCTTACTGGAACACGGCATGCTCATTACTTTACGTATTGTCTATGGCTACTTTCCGGCTACAAATTATTGAGCAGTTGCAGCAGATATCCTATGGCCCAAAGAGCCTACAATATTTACTCGTCTGGCCTTTTACAGACCTTTGCTGACCCCTGGCTCATGGATTTGAGGTCTTTGATACTCTTGGTTATTGGAGCCTGGTGCAGAGAGGAGGTGAAAACCAGGCCATGGTTTGCCATATCTAAGAAAAAGAACTGAATTTTAAGTCGACGGGTGGGGCCTGGGAGACTCTTAGAAATAGCACTGGACAGTGAGTCCAGTCTTTGGGTGCCTAACCCCCTCGGGCCCAACTTTCCCACCTATACATTAGCCAGAATGACTGTTTTGGACTAGATCACTGATTTTCACACTATGTTAACTGGGATGTTTAAGAGGAAAGAGATGAGGGTGAGGGAGGTACCAAGAAGGTGAGACTTGGACCCTCATAGATAAAGGTTGATGTGCTGTTGGTGTCTGCTAGGTTCTGAGTCTTGTGCTGGTGATGATGATCTTTAATGAACATCTATTATATACCAAGCACATTTCAAACCCTTATTTTCATAACAATCCTTTTGGTTTTGCTTTTACGAAAGAGAAAGCCCAAGCATGCAGAGGTGAACTAAAGATATGCAGTTCAATGGTAGAATCAGGACTCAACCCCAGAGAGTCTGATCCCAGACTATGGTGAGCTACCTGGAAAAAAAAAAAAAAAAAAAGTAGCTCTTGGTCTTGTAGGGTTTTCAGGGTAAATGAGGAACACACTGCTGTAGAATAGTTCCTATAGTGAATTAATGAACTGAAATACAAAATTGTCAGTGGTGTGGATAGTGACTCTTAGTTACCTGGTATATTCAGTATGGTTTGTGTTAGAGGAGAGACCTCACCTACACCCTCACCCTCACCCTCACCCATTAGAATTCCATCATAGAGACTCAATGAGACACAGGACATTCCAGGAATTAGGGAGTGTATCCAGAGATCCCAACTCCCAAGAACTTCATTCCAAGGAGAAGCTCCATGCCTTTGAGTCTAGAAAAACATCTTCCCTTAAGAATAGCCGAAGAATAGAGAGTGAATCTTTGGCTCTCACCAGATCCAACTTATGTGAGTCAGAGAAATGGCAGTGCAGTGTGGGAGGCTTTGCTGAGGTGGACTGGTTTCATCATTATATTGGTCAAGGCAGTGGCCAAGCGAACAGGCCTGAGTGAGACTCACTTGGGCTCTCATACCATGGCTTAGACATGGGACCTTAGCTAAACGTCAGTGTTCTCATCTAGAAAATGGTAAAAGTCATGGGACTCCACTGTGGAAGATGTTTATCAATAATTTGGGATACTTGTTATCTGGATCTCCTTAGATTTAGGAAATAACTCTCCTTGATATAATAATAATGAGGCAGAGCCAGGGCCCTCTATAAAAGTTGAAAATCCCAAAGTCTCTTTCCCCCAGTCCCCTTTGTAGCTTGAGGGTGGGCACAAGCCCTACACTTTCCCTTGGTCAGACACACCAATGTAAGACATTGAATCAGAAGCTAGTGGTAGTAAGACATGGGGACATCACAGAAGCCATTTTGATAAGGATGGCTATGACTCATATGTTTCCAAAGTACCAGTGACAGCACGTAGCATTAGCACCACAGTGACTCTGTTCTGATGTTTTCACAAGACCAGTCCTGGGACCTAATCTTGAGCTTAGAATTGGGCTTCAGAGCATGCAAGCCTGGCTCTCCAGCCCTCCCAGAGAGTGTTCTAGAACTATCCAATATTCTCTGAATAGATTTTGTTTGCCTGTTTTGCTTAAGTTAGCCAACGTTGGTTTCTGTTGATTGTCACTTAGAATCCTGACTGCAAATTGTTGTCATAAGATACTGTGAAGTTTAACCCCGTTCCTAGCAAGTTGGATGTGTTGGATGCATGTTACTGTGACTTATCTCAGTGTGTGCTTGGCGGGGAGGGGAGGACTATCAACAACCACCATTTATGGGCACCCACTAGGTGGTATGCCCTGGGTCATGCACCTTTCTTTAGTGTGAACCAATGGGAGAACTCTTACATCCAGATGAGAGATCTAAGAGCTATTATGATCTCTTAACCTGCTCAAGGTACCAGGGCTCATAGAGGTGTGACCCCATGTCAGATTGAGTAGGCAGCCTCCACGTTTTCTTCTCTACCACACTGCCCACCCCATCTGAATGAATGACTTCCTTCTCCCTTCCTTTCTTCCCTCCCTCCTGTCCTTCTTCCTTACTTTCTTTTCTTCTTTATTATTATTGTTGTTATTATTATTATTTTTATTTTTATTTTTATTTTTGCCACCAACCATTTAACAGGGCCAGTGATTTCCCTGGGTTTGGTAACACCAGTGTGAGGGTGGGTGACAGATTTATGGTGGCATTTCCCATTCACTTTTCAGAAGCCCACACATCCGGAAGTATTCCCAAGGTACCAATGTGTTATTATGCAACACCCTGAGACTTCCCTTTCCCGCCCCAGTGCCCTCATCCCCAGGCACATAATACGCTGCTTGTTAAAAGGAACACCACCCACAAGACCTCTTAGGCAATGCAGGCTACATCCCCAGCAATGTGGAAATTATCTTGTCCTCCCCTCCCCCCCTTTTTAAAAACATAACATACACCAGGCCTGAGGCTTCAGTTAAAAAATGTGGTATCGGTAAAATGATAACTCCCCACCCCCAAACAGGCACCGGCTGGAGGCATTGTTCAGCAGCTCCGGGAACACTGTTCCTAAAGCACTGAGTCGTAAACTACAGGCAGGCTGCTGATAAAAGCTGAAGGGGGGGAAGGTGATGGTCAAATTAGACAAACTGTGAAGCATCCCCAAGAGGGGCTCCCCTTAGCGACCCGTCTCAAAGCCAGTGGTGGAAGTGAGCTACCTTCTGAGATGAGGTACACTCCCTTACAGGAGATGCCATTGTGGGAGGGTTCCTCCTGCTCCATTTTGATTTACCTTTTGATTTACCACCCTGCATCCTTCAGGATGGCTGGGCTCACGGATCAGCTTAGATGTAAGGGCCTGGGCCGCAGCTCAGGATCCCAGAGCCTCAGTTT